TTTGTGTGTAAAGCGACAAGTTCACTAGGCAAATACACAGAACTAAAATATTTTAGCCTCTCTAGAATACGTATTTAGATAATTCTCTTACCGAAAATGGTAGTGGTCACTCGCTGGACTAATGCAATAAAACCGAACTAAACAGAATCACCGAAACCACAATCGGGTAACAACTCTAGCCTCGCAAACGAAGTCTTGGCTGTAATGGGGAGGTGGCTATGCTGTATAACGGGCATATCCTGGGCGATCATTCAATCACTGTTAGTCTGTAGAGTTAAAAAAACTATTGCCTCGTGCCATATACATCATTTTTCTAACTTAGCTGACCGGCCGATACCGCGAGTTCCATCCACTTCTCCGCCTTGTTCTGTTGCCCTGTTTTCTTCATTGATCTCTATGGCATTTTACCACTTTCGTTCTCCGAATGTTGCCTTATTACTTGGCGGATGTATTCTCATATGAATCATGTTTCGGCAATACAAACGTTTTCTTACTTGGATTTTATTGACTTCATTCTCCCTTTTGATGCACCAGTGTCGCTGCTCCATTTCTTATCGAGTCCAGGCACATTTTGGATCTACAATTCTTCATCATTCAGGACTGCTTTGCGATCATTTTGCCGCTTCTGATAAACTTTTTTCTCATGCAGACCATCCTGTATCAACGCCGGTGCCTCTACCTCCCAGGGAAGCAGAATTTTGAATGTTGGTAGCAAACCGCTTGTTCTGCAACCACATAAACGCTGAATGGTACTGAGGTTGATATCTGGCTGTTAAGTTAAGCAGAGTAGTCAGTATCCATTTTAACTCGGTGCACATACTACCTGATACCTAAACGCGTGAGTCCGATATGAGCCTAACGGAAAAGAATTCTTTACTTAGTGGACGTTACTGTGGTTGATGCATGCAAACGTTGCAGAGACCAAATTTAGAAAGGTGACAGAAGCACGTTCACTTTTCTTATTGTAGCTCTAAAAAGCATGATGCTGCTGCAATACACTGTCACACAAAGCGAAATTGCGCTTGGAGTGGACAGTACACAAAGTTTGATAGCTTTGTGCAGCTTCGGATTAAGAGAAACTTGATCCTCAGTCTGGTAAACCAGGCCAAAGGAATCTGCTCGAGGGATAATCTTTTGGAAGAGTTACACCGCATACGATCGACGCTTAACGAGAATGGCTATCCAGAAAATTTTATTAATGCTAATATTTGAAGAAAATGGAAGGTACCTACGGTCCTGATGACGGAACGGAATACTATTTTCCTGCAACTGCCTTACAAAACGGAAATAACATCCGAACATTTATCCCATCGTCTCTCGTACACACGCAGAAATACCTTCCAGCGGCGATGCAGCAAATCCGGTTCACCAGCATCCCAATGGTCTGACAAAACCTAAATGATACGCTGCCTGTCTACACCAACTAAATGTGTGTACTTCATCTGTTCCTGCAGGCAGGTTATGTTGGTCGTACGACAAGGCGCTCACCCGAAAGGGTGAAGGAACACCATGCAGCCTGGCTCGGAAACGGAGGCCAAGGGGCCACCAACTCTACCATCGCAACGCATCTTGCGGAAACGGTTCACGCCACCAAGTTGGCTGATTCGTACAAAGCAATCTTTCGAGCCTCAGAAAATCGATCAAAGCCTTTCCGTAGGCGGATATTAGTCGCCGAAGAAGCTATCGCCATTCGGTTGTACGAACCAGTGCTGTGCACACAGAAAACATTCACTCACATGTTGAGCCTACATTAGTCAGGACGGATTGCAGTTGACCAGTGCGAATATGCGACAACAAACTACTACCTGACCGACAGTTTGTCATAGCGCACTAGACTCGATTTGACTGACCGCCGACCAGTTGGGCGTGTATGGAAAATTTTGATTTTCCTGTAATTACCAAAGCCTGATGAGGAATTACCGAAAGAACATGTTTGATTACACAGACTTTTGATCAATCAAAGGTCTTTTTCAACTCAATAGATTAGCAGACCTTCCAAAAGTTGATAGGAACCAGTCGTAATGTTTTAGTGCAGCTCTAATTTGTCCTGGCGGGCCAGCCACTTATTTGGTGCAAATATAGAAAGCGAGCGGGTTAGTCCATCAAGATTTACGCAGTTAAATACAAAACATGTGAAGTTGATGCAATTGAAGAATGAGCCGTATGTGATAACTAACTAAACGTGACCGGCAACTCTGCATAATCAGTAGTGCTGTGGATAGTGCAACTGCGTGAGATCATGTGTCCCTGATTTTAACGTCAGTTCAATTTATAGGTTGAATAACTCCCCCGTAGACGTCACTTCCGTCTAAGGTCGCAGTTCTTTGATGACTCAAATTCCTCACGATATCCGTTCTGTGTAATATGCCGTCGAATTTTATATAAGCCATGCTCTGGTAAGGGCACGCAAAAGTTTGTAAGCATAATCAACGTAGACGTTACTGTCCGAACCTGGAGCAAGTAGTATTACGGCGACCGTACTGAAAAGTTCGCTAAACCGCTTTCCGTTCAATCGTGTCATTGTTTTTTTGACCGAAAGTGACAAATTGCAGTTTCCATGTAATGGGCAATATAACTCGACTGTAGTAGTGAGTAGCAGACTTTTGCATTTAGCTTAATGTTAGTTTATCCCAGAGGTTTTAAACCAAATAGAAAAGCACGGCTTAGGAAATACGCCGCTCGCTTCGCAACCCTGAGTACTCTCCACCGGAGATCTGGTTTCGTTCCATTATGTCTCCCCAGTGATGCGCTTCAGCCAGATCCCGAGCTTGTAAGTTATAACCATCTAACGCCCTCTTTCGTGTCCTATTGTCGCACATTGCTGACGTAGCGAGGTCATTTGTTTCTTCCTGACAAATCTAATGGGTGCGTACTCCTGATGATTCGCAGTAAGGAAACACTACCATTTGGGACAATTTTGAAGACGTAGTTGGCTACCTAACTGTAAAGCTACTTCCAAGAACTGACAGTAATAGCATAATCAGTGGATACCATACCCTTTATGGACAGTTGGTATCATAAACCCTAAAGTCCTACCATTCGAAGGACAGCTTTGAATTCTAGTAAGGTCATCCATTTCTTGCATATCACCAAGCGATTTTGAGTCGCGGATAATTTGTTGTCCACAGAGTTGATGAACGACTAACATCGCTTCTGGCCAGTCCAATTTAACCGCTCGGCTAAGAAAGCCGATTCTTGAAAATTAAACTATCCAAAAACGTCCTTGATTAACCCAGCAAGAGGTTACAGAGTCAAATAACGCATTGAGCCTTTTACACTATGGCTTAGATTTTGAAAGGCCTCAAATTATTTTCATGTATTTAGCGTTATCGAGAAAATGGCACGCATATTGCACATGTACTCAAGCTACCTTGAGGAGTATCACGGTGCGCTGACCGAATTCCACACACGTAGCTTCAACCTGTTCACCACTCAAGTCTCTCGTGATCGAGCGTGCATGGAATTTTCGGTGAGTTCCACTATACTTCCTTCATATTTACGTGTTGGTCAGCGCTGGTTTCGTGATTCTTTGTATGCGAAGGTAGAGCCGAAGGAAATATACACTACATTTGGTGACTTCAGATTGCACCTGGTTGTTTGATGCTCAGTTCCCATGGAAATGGCCTTGTTTTAACTTAGTGACTGGGAAAGTTGACAACAAGATAGGTTAGATGGCAACTTAACAAAACTGCGTACTATTTTACTTGCATCTTTTATCGGCTGATTAGGCTAAAAGTAGCTCCTCATTTGAGTGTCTACACCCTCTTGTGGAACATGACTGAAACACACGCGTTCACTGCTCCTTAACATCCATTGTGGTTACCTATGCCTACTGCCTTTAGGTTGGCTCCAGCATTCGCATTTGGGTTTCCGAAAACCACCCGGCCATTCTGTTTACGTGTACTGATGTATTCATGAGAAAGTTTCTGCTCTACGCTGGCAACCGACTGATGGGTGGCCTATGTCACATCCGCATACGGTCAAAAAAGGTACGTGGTTCTGTTCTCATTAGACGATATAATGAAATAGACGCAAGCAGCTAAGGTGTTTCATGTACAACAACAATGGAATTGACTCACTTACTAGTGTTTTACGGGAGTAGTTGGATTCCTCACTCAGCCATAATAATTTGCCGACTAACCCCCCCCCCACTATCTTTCACTGTCCTTGAACATGCTCTAACCCCCATATTTTCAGCCTCCTTGAGTCTATTGTTATTGCCGCTGTGCTGGCCCAATCGGCTATGATAAACGGCGGATAAATCGTTGTAGCGCGAAGTGCGTCGATGAGGCCACCACTAGTCCACTAAGTTTTGTCACATAATCTTTTCCCCGTTTAGTCTATCATCGTTTGTATACATCTATGCACATAATAGATGAGAATGCGCAAGATAACGCGTTAATCTCACGACCCGCACCTTCCGATAATCTTGGTAAGGATTATGAAAGAACTTCATTGCTTATCCATTTCCTCGGATAAGCACCAAGCATTCGGTGGATTTCAAACACTGGAAGATTATCCCACAAGGTCATACTTTCCTGCATTTTTCACATCTATGCAAATACGAATATGTCCAAAAAGGATTAAGTCACGTGGTTTCATATGCAACCAAAATAGTGCTGGATTAAGCGCTAATTCCGCTCTCGACCAACAGCAATTTCCTCTAATAGTTCTGGAATGTGAGGCTTTCAATAATGCATGGGTTCACTGGAAGCTTTACAGCCCACCAGGCGCAATTGTCGCAAATTCCGTTTACATGCATAACGTCGTCAGCTTGCCTGATGAGACCTGTGACGCCACTTCATGATCTGACATGGGCGGATGGGTTTGAGAAACATACAAGCATCAAACGGTATCTTCAACAGTGGGCTTTATGGCGCCCTCACTCTTCATTACCTGGACAGCACACAACAAACATAAACCTACTTTTTTAAGTCAAAGCATAAGCTACTACTGAATTGGCCGCCATATCTTTCAGATCAACGTATTGAAAATTTGTCTCCTGCCGAATTCTGTGAGCGGTGGCTTAAACGGTCTCAGCAATGTGGTTATGAATGTAGCGTTGACCCATCGAAGTTAAATGATCCATAACCATTGATCCCATAGGCAGAACTAAATATGGTTCGCAACAATTACGCTATTACAGAAGAGTAGTTGGGGGGAGTTACATGGTATAGGTGAAAATTCGTCTCATCTAGACTCAATCAGATAGCCGTCACAGGCCCGGAAAAGCACTGTACATGCGTTTCCTCCTTTCGGGAATCGTCAGCAGTGCGCGGTATTATCAAAATATATACAGCTAAGTAACTTAGGCTAAGCTCACTTTTTCTGTATCTCGGTGAACCAACAATAAATTGTCGTTAACAAATAGGACGAAAAGTGCTGTTTAAACCAGTCAGACAAAGAACAGGTGAAGAAACACAAAAATCAGAGAACCTAGCTTTTAGGATGACACCGTCATTTAGTGCAGTGCATGTCCCATTGTATATAAATTTATCTGTGGCTGTGGAGACAGCTGCTGTGACAGCACTGACCGGAGTCTGAGTGTCAGAAACAATAAACACGTTCCAAAGTGATAACGCAGCCGTAAGGGATCTGTGCCGACTGAATAAAGTGACTAGAAAAACCTAGCTACATCAGCAGTCACTAGATACTTGCTGACTAATGCGCATGGAGTAAATCCTGGTGAATCATTCACAGTATAAATTCAAGATCAGCTGCCCCAAATCATTAAGCTATTAGGCGCTATCATCATCGATCGCGAATGATCACCACTGGGCATTCAAAAACAGCTGCCATTAAACTAGACCTACTAAGGTAGCCCATACGTTTTGCATGTCTTTGTGACTGATAAGAATGCACGAAATGACGTCGCCAACAAACAGCCTTCCTCTGCCGATTGTCAGTTATGAATTATACAGGGAAATGCTTGTTTCAAATTTCTCAGACAAAGACAAGTGCACACTGGATAAACATGTGCAGGTATTACCAAAATCACTGACGAATCATTGATGGTTCAATCAGAGAGTGAGCTGATGGAATGACACTCACATACAAGTAAACTTGGTGTCAACTTTGATGACCTGTGCTTGACTGTGTAAGAGTATGGTAGCTATGTTGAAACGCCATGGAGATGGTGATTTCAAACCTAGTCAAATATCATTCTTGAAGAAATGAAGAGGTAAACCAGATGTGAATTGCTGGACACCGGTGTGAACGTACGGAGGATTGATCAGCTACTAAGGCAACTGCATGGGAGGTGATGAGAGGGTGGTGATGTTATTCAAGTATTTTGAGGACATGGTTCGATGCACCAGCAGTCCTCGCAACCACAAGGACAGGTCAGTTTAATGAGCAGAAAAGGAAGCTAAGTGTAAAATAAATTCAAGTTTCAGTGGAATTTTCTAATCAATGCAAGAATCCTCTGCACTGGTATTTGCCATAATTTTACCAAAGAGTAAGTACTTGTAAAACATGTAAGAGAATTAACGACGGCAAGAAATGCTGATCTAAGTAGTGAGCTTTGTACCATGTCGTAAGGTTCCGTATGGCTTCGGTTATATGCGTCTTTTTCTAGTTTGAACTTGCTGGTAGACGCAACACTGAACTGAGCAACTGCAGATGCCCTAGAGTTCGTACACAACCAAGTAGGCAGGAGTGGGTTTAGACGTTTGCGCTTCGTTGCATTGGGAAGCAAATTGCCAGCCTTCAAGTACAATCACATATACGCAATGAGAATGGGCCGCCAGTGTAGCATGTGGGCGATCGCGTGGTAAGCACGCGGTGTGGATCTCGCAGGTGGGTTTCTGATAAAAACAGCGAATATCGATCGATAAGTTATCAAATGTTCGGGCACATGCTGCCTGTTGGCCACTCTATAACAATGTGCAAACGTTGAAGCTTGCAAGTATTATTGGGGATTGAGGACTCCAACGAGAAACGGATGAACTGATGTTGTCTTCGTGATTGCACATGCACTTGCCAACTGGACTGGGGCGACACCCTGCGATTGCCTGTGAGTTGAAACTAGAAGACAAACGACTATTCAAGCTATGTGGAAGAGGGATTTGAATTGGGGGATTGAAAACGGGGAATAAAAGTGAAGCTGGAACAGGATGCTAAGGATGAAAAGGTGCAAGAGGGGAACAAAAGAAGACAGAAATGTTTGAGCAGTAGCAACCAAACCCCTATCCCTCCTGCGAGATGCAGCAGATAAGGCACCGTTAATTATCCTCTGTACTGGCCAAAGCATTAAACGATGGTTAGAAGGAAATGCATAGTTTATTGCGTGGGCAGGATAATAGCCTAGACAACAGAGCTATTACTTTTCTCAACAAAAGCTCTTAGTTCAAAAGTCTGACCTCAACGCAGCGAGTTTGGCAGTGGGCTACGGGATGTCCGTTTTAAGGAATAAGGAGCCACTCTCAACCCAATCCCCAAACTGGCAGAGCAGGAAGCTGACTTTGTCTGGCCTCTAACCATTGACCAACCTGTTATGAGTACTTTTGAACGTTCAAAAATAGCACCCTTCCGCACAGCTAAATGCCGGCCGGTGGCCTAGTGATCTGCTCACATGGTTTGCAACCATAAGGTCACCGGTTCGCGCGACCAACCTACCAAACATAATCAACTATCAACTGAAATGGATAAAGGCAGTTTGACTTGTATACTATTTACTAAGGATTAGTAAGGGATACTCTGTGATCTGCACCGTTGTAACGATCAAGTCAGTGGCTAATAAGCGCCGCTATATCAGATGTAATGCACTGGTCACCTAGTCCGCCGATACTGTCTCCTTTACTTCAGGGGTCTTTGTCACAGTAGAAGTCGAATTGTGGGTTCAAGCCACACAGGGGTCAGATAGATTACGCACTATGATCAATTCTCGAAGGGATGAAACGGTCATGCAGCAAATTGCATGGTGTGTGATGGTTGTTTACTTAAGTCTAAATGGGGTGAACGTCTACTTATACGAATCACTTGAAACCACTTAGGCAAAATTGATAAGATGTTTATATCCTGAGTGAGCGACTACATTCCGAGGGAAGCCCTAAGCATAAACCCCTATTGGTTGGCGGCATCCGGTTTCGGATTTGCCTGTCACTGTGGCCAGACACAGGACGCCTACGCCTACAGAGGGACCATGGATGGCTTGCGCTGCACCACCCACAGCTCCAACCACACACCCCATATCCAGTGTAAACCCGAAGGAATAAAACCGGGAGGCATGTGGATGGGAGCCACATTTCATCAACGGAGCCGGCCCACACTCCTTCACAGGCAAACACAAGCACACTGTATTTGGGGAATCAAGCGCACACAAGGCGGTGGCTGGACCGTAGTCCGCTCCACACTGAGTGCATGGAACCACTCTTCAAGCCTAGCACGGCCACAAGCACCGTGCACCCCCGTCCCCTCCAGCAACGACCAACTGTCTCCTGGAGCCAGTATGGACGAGGTAGTGGGGAATAGACAGGTAGGCACCTTGTCAACATGCACACCAAGCGCAGCCACACCGGGGATACCAAGCAACAGCCAATCACCTGGAACGACAAGATGAGATAAAACAAATCCAAGAATGCATACTGATACGGTGGCATAACTCTAAGCTAAATAAGCATATGAAGTAAGTTGGTTAGCAACGAATTCGCGATAAGGAAAAATGTCCACAAGTCAGTTAAAATGCTACAAAACGCAATAAAGTTACCGAAGATAAGTGCAATTAATGTAAGCAACGTGGCCAGTTAATACAAGAGTATCCAGGTAGGCAGAACAAACCAAATAAATTGGAGTGAAATTTAGCCAATTTAAAAAGACCTAGTCTAAGTGTAAATTGGTTTAGCCCAACTGCGGTGAAGAAGCAGCAAGAATGCAACATCAGCCTCAGTGTCTTATTAACTTATGCGTTCACGTTAAGCATCGGCTGTTTCAGTGGACAGTCACTAGTTCTGAAGGAACAGGAAGGTAAAAATATTCAATTCCACCGCAC